TAGAATTTTTTTATTTATTTATTTTTTTACAGTGCTGTATACACTATAAATCACTTTCTTTGCACTTCAAGTAAGTGCTACTCTGTCCTGATTTGTCACCATGAAATCTAAGTAAAATGTATAAACTTCTAATGTTTTTTCAAACTTTTCGGTTTCACACATGACACTGAAGTTGAATTCATTTCCACACAGACAGTGGAAGGAGACATAAACCCTGATTCCAGACTCAAACTGATGAATCAAAGCTCCTACCTGGTAGCCTGCAGGATCTGGATAAGCCAAGGGAGACCTAAAACAAAACATGTTGACTCATTTAGAAGCGCTGAATTATCAGAGCTGGGGAAGATAAAGAGTCGAGGCCAGTTTCATTTTTGCCTGGCCTCCACATAAAAACAATGAACTCACTGTATAAAAGCCAGATCCTTGATGATCTCTTCCTTTCGTTTCTCTCGGGCTGGGTCCATGGTTGGTCACACCATAGCAGATCTTAGGAGGGACAATAGACTCAATAAACTCTGCATATTTATCTGCCATTACTTCTCCATGTATTTACCAAAATACAAACATGAACGTTATGGAGGGAACAACTTCAGAGACACGCTCACCTGATAAAGTTCAGCGAACCAAAGCAAAGTTTAAAGGCGGGTCATGTTTGCAGAGAAAAGCAGGAACAGAGCAGCAGCTGCTGGGGAGGCGAGCTAAGGAGCTAAAGGACGAGCTTTGAGTCCGACGAAAAGACTCACTTCATGGGCTCAGATAAGTTTCGATTTCCTTCCACTAGGTCCGCCGCAGACAACTGCAAGCAAAAGGCAATAGCTGCACGAGCTGCTGGGGCGTCACGTGACTGCGGCGCGCGGCTGCGCTACGTCGGCGATGTTGTTTTTTTATTATTATTTTTTTTAAGAACTTTATTGACAGTTGTTAAACGACAGACACATATGGGAAACACATAAACCAAACAGACGTTTGCTACACGTAAACTAAAATTTAAAGTAATTTGACTATTTAGGTTGATTTTTTTTTTTTTCTGTTCTTTCAATGGTATTCTACGGAAGAGGATTAGGGCCACTGGAAAAAAAATAACTGATTTCTAAATTTTATTTCAGTTTAATATAGGCAAAAAGTCAGAATTCTGAGATTAAAGTCAGAATTCTGAGATTAAAGTCAGAATTATGGGAGAAAAAAAGTCAGAATTATTAGATTAAAGTCAGAATTATGAGAAAAAAGTCAAAATTCTGAAATCCAAGTCAGAATTCTGATATTAAATTTAGAATATTGAGGTTAAAGTCAGAATTCTGAGATTAAAGTCAGAATTATGAGATCAAAGTGAGAATTCTGAGATTAATGTCAGAATTCTAAGATTAAAGTCAGAATGTGAGATTAAAGTCAAAATTCTGAGAAAAAGGACAGAAGTATGAGATTAAAGTCAGAATTCTAAGATTAAAGTCAGAATTGTGAGATTAAAGTCAAAATTCTGAGAAAAAGGACAGAATTATGAGATTAAAGTCAGAATAAACTGAAATATTTTTTTTTTCCAGTGGCCCAAATCCTTTTCCGTAGTATTCCAATATGTTTTCAAGATCTGTGTGCCAAAATATTTTATGCAGCTAATAATGTGTTAAAATTGTGATTAATTAATTTAATAATATAGTTTTCATTGGTTGTTAAATTAAGTTTATTACAGTAAAAAAAAAAATAACATAAGCAGCCCCTTACTGTGGAATAATACATCAACAGTTGATCTATTATTTCATCTAACTTTCTGATTCGATAGACAGTGATGGAGCTTTGTTAGAGCGTGGTGAATTTGTTGACACATTTAATCTGAACTGTAGTAACCATAGATATCTTCAAGGGCAAAGGTATTCCTGATGCCCTTCTCCTTCTTACACACATTAAGATCCTCCATTGTCCCTGAAATTCTATCCACATTGATGATGAAAGAACAATATCTATCAGATAAAAAGTGCAACAAGGTTGTTCCCATGTTTTTTTCTCAATTGATAAAACAGTGTTACTGAAAAATAGCACACATTTCCCAATATTTTACAAAGCACTGCAAACTCAAAAGCGCCCCCGTATTGTCAAAATTAGCCCGGTGTACTACAAAAGCTAAAACGCTGTTGTCTCTCTGAGTCTCCATATTAAGTGTACAAAAAAGATGTCTCCAGAAATAACAGCTAGAACACAAATTCAACTCCTAATTGAGTCAGAGGGAAGCATTGCAGTCCCTGACTCTGTTTTTCAAATGACTCTTTTTGAAAACCGTAAAGCGCTTCACACTACATTCAATCATTCATCCATTCACACATTGATGGTTGCTACAGCTGCCCGGGGCTCACTGACAGAAACAAGGATGCCGTATACTGGCCCCACAGGGCCCTCTTACCCCAATAAGGTGGTTCCTTTAGCAGTACTTCTATATGCTTAAATATAAGAAAGAAAAGTGCCATTGTTGATATCTGGAGTTTTGTAAATGAAAAACAAATGTAGTGATACATACATATTGTTTGCTTTAACCAAAATGAACCTTCTATTGTAAGAAAAACATCTGTTTTCTGTTAAAGGAAACATTTCGATCATCCTTTGATAATCAGATTAAGGTTAAAGAGGTTCAGATAAAACCCTGAATAAAAATTATGACTGCAATACATTTGTCCTTTTCTCAATATTTATACATCAGATCATCTTTTCCTTATTTTCATACCAAACACATTTCGGGTAGTGTTATTCCATATATATTCTTGTATTTATTTAAGTTAACTGCATATTTGTTTCTCTATGATGTTTAGCATCTTATCACCAAAATTATTTTTTTGTATGTGTAAACACAATAAAGCTTTTAAGCTTTATTATTTAAACCTTACATAACTGTTTTTCATTGTCTTAGAACAATCAATGTTATTCAAAGAATCTGAGTCTTATTTCTGCTGTGTTGATTTTGCTTGTTCTTTATTTTTGTTTTTTATTAATGCACATATTTGCCTATGAAACAAACATAGAACAAGAAATAGAACACAAAACATGTAACAAGGGACGCAAGGGGAAAGGGTATCTATGTTTAGATATTCAGTACAGACAAATAAATAGGGAAATAAAGACAATATGAATCTAATAGATTGATTAAGACGCTCAGATATATTTATCAAAATGTTGTTTGTACTTTTGGAAATAGTGGATAGATATATTTCAACTAATTTAATCAATATTGGAAAAAGGTAGGGGTGGTTAAAATTTACATTTATGAATAAGAAATATGCCTAGTAAAATGATTAGATAAATTGCAAGTACCCTATTCATACTATTGTTTCTTTTTCAATGGAAACCAAAAAAACAACTTTCATAATAGAGTGAAAAAACTGTATTTTTATTTGAAATTATAAGGTTTTTATATTCCTTCCAAAACGTTCTTTTTAATTAGCAATTCATAAATAATTAATTAACTCTTGTTTCTGGATGTTCTTTGCAAATTTGGTTTGTTTCAGCATGAAATAATGTAATTTCACTATATACCGGTTGGCGGCGGTAATGCACCATTGTTGTTGTTTCCCAACGGCCAGTAAAGGTTCCATATAGAGGAAGAAGAACTCTGAACCCATTGTAGGGTACTAGAACTACAAGTCCCTTGTTTCTTTACTCATCGGTCGTCAAGTGGTTTAGTGCGGCTATTATTTGGTTTTGAACGGCATTGGCGAGCGGGATTGCTTAGCTGGGCTGAATTCAATCGTAACTGGAGTGTTTTGGTAACGGCGACGTAAGTTTTTAGCAGTAAAGATAAGCTAGTTTCTTTTCAAGAGTTTCGGGGAGATTAAAGTTTAACCGTAAACTTATATCAATAAACGTTAGGTGGCCAACCGAAAAAGGCCGAGTCACAGACACGCTCTGTCCGTTTCACGTGAAACGTCAGTGCTAGCTAGCAAACTGAAGTTTTCCCTGTTATAAACTGGCGACTCCGGACTAAGATTAGTTTTTATTTTGTTTGTATTTTTATATATCAGTAGGTTTTTGACTTATGTAAGCAGCAGGTAATGTGTTGCTGACTCTGCAGTTGTCTGACGACAATGTCGGCTTCACGTTGCTTGTCACTGGTTAGCAATAAGTTAGCAGCCACACGTTTATTGGTATTATTTCATAAGCCAGGTGTTTGAAATGGTATATTTATCTTCTAAAACCGCCTAACTAGCGAATGAATCCAGATTTGAGGGCAGTACGCCATCTTTAATCCATTTTAAAACACTTAATCTGTTTAAAGTAGTTGTAAAAACTGTTATAAACAAGTCTTTAAGATATTTGAATGGGGTTTAAAAAAAATAAATAATCGTTTTGGTCCTCAGGGGTCTTCATGGCAACAGACGTTGTTGCACAGTTGGCCGACTCACTGGCCAAGACTGGAGTAGAGGATGGAGAGCTGAGCTATAAAGGCCAGGGAAAGAAGCTGGATAATGCCCAGTCAGGTATGTCTTATTAACAGATTTCTGGAAGCACTCAGTGTTTTAAATACTGTTTGTATTATAAGGATATGGTTTTGTTCTATTCTGACATCACAATTGCTAATATTCAAATATGCTATTTCTTTCATTGCTCTGTTAAAAGCTCTTAAATAGGAAAATAATGCTGGCAATTACCGACTGTGTATAAATATATACAGAGAGTGTTGGCATTAAAGAGTTTATTGCATTGATGGTTGCGTTGGTTCTCTATATAAAATCGCTCCCCCTTTTTTCAGCGGAGGAGATTGTGAAGGATATCCTGGAGTTTGAGGGTTTGCAGGCTCTCAGGATGGAAGGAAACACCGTTGGTGTTGAAGCAGCACAGGCCATCGCCAAAGCCCTGGAGGGAAAGAGCGACTTCCAGGTTCAAAGTTTTAAACTTCTGTTATAAATCTGGTTTTAGACATCACACTCGGTGAAATCATGTACAGAAAGTCACATCTTTGGTGTGTTTTTTGTGGACTGAGATGAGAGAAGATGACATAAATATGGTTTTGTTTCATCAAAATACTGTCAACAAACTTCCTGGTTTGCTTTACCCAAGTTTTAGAGATGTATCCAGAGATTTAAATTTTGTAGATTGGAGTCTGGTTTTATTTGTTTTGTTATTGTTTTAATCCACTATTTGCACTTTGAAACTCTTTTTTGAGTTTCATTTCAATCAGACAAGTTAAGTTACGGTTTGATTCATGAATGAAAATAATCAATATTTTTTTGTTGATATATTGTTATAACAGTGTTTACATTTCTTTTCTTCTAGCGCTGTTATTGGAGTGACATGTTTACAGGTCGCCTGCGCTCTGAAATCCCACCTGCCTTGGTAATGAATTATTGGTGATATCTTGATCTGTGTTTACAAGAAGCACAATCTTTGGTTGAAATCTTATTTCCTGTTTTGTAGAATTCACTGGGTGATGCCCTGATGCTGGCCGGTGCCAGACTGACGGTTTTAGACCTAAGTGACAACGCATTTGGCCCCGATGGGGTTAAGGGTATCGAGAAACTGCTCAAGAGCACAGCTTGCTTTACATTACAGGAGTTACGGCTCAACAACTGCGGTATGGGTATCGGAGGTGGAAAGGTACATTTCTAGTTTTATCGCTGCTTTTGTTTTCTGAAGGAAAGTGTAAAAAATTCTTCTCTTTAGTTTTGTTCTTCTTAACTCTTCAGATCTTGGCTGCTTCTTTGATCTACTGTCATAAACAGTCCAGTGAGAAAAACACTCCCCTCAGCCTGAAGGTGTTTGTTGCTGGGAGGAACCGTTTAGAGAACGAAGGAGCAACCGCTCTCGCTCAAGCTTTCCAGGTACAGGACTGTTTTGGGTTTGAACTGATTGTAGCATTCACCAAAAGATCCCTGTTTGGAGTATATTGGATTGAATGGTGGGGATGTAAATAGTGGCTATGTTTACCTGCATGAGAATTTCACAATTGAAATGTATTTGAATTAAAAACACAAATAACTGGATTGTGCCAATAATATCAAAATAGTTAATTAGAATACAACAGGTGATCTGACTAAAAACCTGTGTACCTTACTCTGTCTGGGTGATTTCTATAGTGTAATGGTTTGGTAAATATTAAAGTATCATAGTATCACAGGGACTGGTGTAGTTGATCTAGATTCACTGTCATTCTGTTTGTCGGAATGTTTTGCTAACCATCAGTTTAATAATAACTGAAACATTAAATCTATTTTTTTCTAAGTTAATTGGTAGCCTGGAAGAAGTTCACATGCCCCAGAATGGTATCAATCATCCTGGTGTGACAGCTCTGGCCTCAGCAATGCAGCAGAACCCAGGACTCCGAATCCTCAACCTCAATGACAACACCTTTACTGAGAAAGGGGCACTCGCCATGGCTCAGGTACCATAAGATGTTAGCTTCTTACATGAAGTAAATATTACTACTAAGGCTGGATTATTTAGTTGTAATATATTGCATGTTATAAGAAAAATGTTTGGAGTTAAGTTTCACACTTAGGAAGCTAAAGTAACAAACAAAAGGCATTTAAATTACATTTAGCTGAATATTTTTATCTTTTTGTAAAATTAACTTATTTCCATGCAATGGCCAAATGAAAACTTTATTTTTTATTAAATTTAGTCTGCAGATCACTGTTTTTATCTGTTAGTTTAACTCAAATGAATTGAGAGAGATAATCTGCTGAAATGTTCTGTGGATTATTTAAATATTTGCGGAAGGCAGACTCATTCTACCTGTGTGTCTATATATATACACAATGAATATTCTATTTTTTTCCTAACAGGCCCTAAAACACCTCAACAGCATCCAGGTTATCAACTTTGGAGACTGTTTGGTTCGCTCAGAAGGCGCTAAAGCCATCGCGGAAACTGTATCTGCAGGCCTTCCTGTCCTCAAGGTGAGCGCTTTATATACTTGGACGGTACAGTCGAGATGTAATTAGCTGTCTAAATTGTACCAACATTTTATTGCTCTTAACAGTTTCTGCAGACGTTTGGAGTTTGTGCCTGAACTTTATTCAGCCTGCCAAGTAGCAGTTATTGATTGGTCCCAGTAAAATTTAAAACAATATTGGTGTTACTATTGCAGAATTCGTAATAGGTAAACAACTATTTTGAGGGATTATCCCAAACAAATTATATGCTTCTGATTACATGTTTTGATAAACTCCTTAAAAATAGGCTTAAAAATTATTTGTTGTCACAACTAGGGCTGAAACAATTAATCGGATTAATCGTGATTAATCGATTATTGTAATAATCGTCTACTAATTTAATAATCGATTAATCATTAAATGGATTTTAAAGATTGTAAAATATGCCTTTAGTAGACAGATCCACCAACCCTTGAGCAGCAATTATACCCAAATTGTAAAAAAAAATAAATAAATATATATATATATATATATATATATGATATGATATACTACACTATAAACATTTTGCATTTTAGATAATAAAAAAAAAACACTCTTTGGTGTGTCAATCTGCTCTATCCAGAACTCCTCAAGTGGAAAAGTTTTAGTTTCACCTGGTTTAACTCTGTAAAAAGTCTTCTATCAGTAACCTTTTGCTATCCGATTATAAATCGATTATTTGGAAAAATTATCGACAGATTAGTAGATTTGCAAAATAGTCGTAAGTTGCAGCCCTAGTCACAACCTAGGATATCGTGGTCGGTTTGCAGTCTGTTGGTGACATCGTCATTGACATCAGCTATAATCATATTCAGTGTGTGGACCAATCTCTCCCTTTCACACAGTGTGATGTGTGCAATAAATGTGTGTGAAGCATTAAAGTTATACCATCGATACTGTTTTATGAATTAAAGTCTTCAGTATCTTTCCGCTGACACTAAGCTCTTTAAATTCCATAATTCATCCTTTCCTACCTCTTTTATTTTACTGCCTTCATGCTCCAACTGTTTAGAAAATGTTTTAGGACATTTTATTTAGTTTGTGTATTTAAAGTCATAGGGAAATGATTTTTAATTTTAAATCTTTCTGGCTTAAACATGTATATAAATGTACTCTTTATCAGGCCATATTGTCCCAAAGTTAGAACATGTTTATTTTTTTTTTTAATCCTATGGGTGTTTTTTCATTATCTTAATCAGGCCAGTTAGTTAAACGTCAGCTTGAACACCTAAATTCAGCCAATCATACATCTATGGTCATCTGTCAATCAAATTTTTTCGGTCATAGCATCTTGATTCATATTCCGCAGCTAATATACGCAACGGTTGAAATAAGAAATAAGAATCATTTACTTTACCATTGAGCTCCGCCCCAGTGTTCACGGGGATGGACATCTATGTCTTCAGCAGGCGTAGAGCTAACAGAACTGGCAGCGTTGCGAGGCAAGGGCTCAAACATGTACGGCTGTAAGCCTTCTACACCAAACCAAGCTTCTGCTCCCCTGGCGTCCTCTTCCACAACATCTTCGTCCCCACTTTCCTTCTCTAAATAAAAAATGTATGACGGAGGAGACTCATCCACCGACTCTGACACAAAACTCTCCTCCTCTTGCATGTTTCCTCTGTCCATAGCGTTCCTTGACAGTGTCGTTGCTAAGTCACCAATATAGTGCTACTCGGTCCCAATGGAATTTCCCATTGGGAACCTACTAGCACTAAGTTGCTAAGTGGTTAGCAAGATGCTTCAGATACACTGGCCACAATCCAAAACTTGCTTGCGAACCCTTCACCACAACAATCCCGCCCTCTTGATAAACGACCAATCACATTCACTTTATTAACTCATGTAAAGTTGTGCACCACTCGGGAGAATTCGGAAATGCAACGGTTGGAGCAGCCGTTTCCCTATGACTTTAAGGACCAGGAATTATGTTTCTTCCAACTAAACTACCCAGTTAATTTAATTTAAAATGGTTGTTCAATTCTAAAAAATGTAATTGAATTTGCAATGAAATCCACATTCTGTGACTTGGGCAAAGAACTGATTTGTTTTAATGCAGGATGTCCATCATTTCCCTTCTTTGCTGATGTTCGACAGGAGCTCAATCTGTCGTTTGGTGAGATCACAGCGGACGCAGCTCTGGCTGTGGTACAGGCAGTGAAGAACAAGGACCAGCTGGAGAAACTGGACTTGAATGGTAAAGATTTGGGAAACTGCTTTTTTGGATGTATTGAAATATTCTCTGATAAAACAGAAAATGGTTGCCTAGACCTTTTAAACATTTTTTTCCCCACTATGTCTAACTTTGTGAGTAAAAGTGTTGTTGATTTACAGGGAACTATCTGGGAGAGGATGGCTGCAAAGCTGTGAAAGACGGCATGGAAAGCTTAAACATGATCAGCCTCCTAGGATCATTGAGGTAATGTCTTTGTGGAGTGATAAACATGTTTATAAAACTTGGTCCAATTGATTACTGTTTAAACTCCCATCATACCAGCTACCACAGATGATCTGCCTGCAACTTTTCCCCAAGTTAGATTTTCACATCAAAGTCCTAATTCTTGTTTCTAACATTTCCACAGTGACGATGAGGGTGAGCCTGAGGATGACGAAGATGAGGATGAAGATGATGAGGATGACGACGATGATGATGACGACGAAGATGTGGATGAAGAGGAAATTGAGGAGGAGGAGGAAGAAGAAGAGGAGGAGGAGGAGGAAAACGGCAGCAACAAGGTCAGATTGGACTATAATATGAGGCTTAAGGTTTTGATGACGCCATATTGATTTGATGTAATTTTGCTTTAAAATCATGCAGCACGACAAACCAGGTGGTTCTGTGTTATCAGGAATCAAACAGGCATTTTTTTAACTCAAATGTCCTAGATTTAGTAGCTCCACAGTAGATCTGATTTAGGACTTGTAAAAACTGATCTCCTCTGGTGAGATCAGGGGGAGAACACTTTTGGAGCTAGCTTAACATTCTATAATAGTGATGATGAAAACATCAATGATTGTTCCAGAGCATCTAGGCCATTTCTCATCTCACAAGAACACAAGTATAGACTTGTGTTCTCACCAAGTATGTTTTTGACAAGAGCACAGGAAGTATGGAGTCGTGACGTTACCATATTCAAAGCTCATCTGGAGCTGCATTTCACCTCCTCTTATTAATAGTCTGTACATAATAATAAGTTCTTACTTTTTTTATTTAGTAGGGAAATAATGATTAAAACAGTCAGACAAAAATCAAATGACTATTTTGCCAAAAAAACCTCCTTCAGAGTCAGGGGTACTTCACACACGGCTTTGCTGAGAAAGGGCTGCTGCAAACAGGGTAACGTTAACACTCGCTGCGGTTAGCCTCGGTCCGCTGGTTGACGTGGTCCTCTAAACATTTAAACTTTTTTTAAATTATGCACTAAATCAGTAAATGGACCATATAGTGATGCTTAAAAGTATAATGTCGTCTCAAATGATCTTAGAACTAAATTTTTAGGACAACAGAAAAGTGAACTTTTAACTTCATACTCTGAGCTCTGTGAGCGCTCCACTGGAAGCTGCTGCTGGCGCGGTGCATGCTGGGATAGCTGTCAATTTTGAGAACGGACAAGTCTGCTCTGATGCATGCTGGGTAAAGAGGGAGGGGTGAGAATAACATCCGGGGACTTTTTTTGTTCTCGGTCTTGTGTTCTTGTGAATTGAAACAGTGCTCAGGCTGAGAAACATCCTAGTCTGGATTTGATTTGTGTGGTTGAACCATCAGCCAGTTAGAGGTCAGGAGAGGGCAGTGATGCTGAGGAACATGGAGGCATCATACCTTACATGTACATCTAACAGCTAGATCCCTCAGTCACTACATAGAGTGGGGACTATATATTGAACTAAAGTAACTTGCTGTTCGGACAGATTATCGCTCCCGCTTGGTCACGTAACCTCGCCTCCCCACACAGTGCATGCGCTGTCACAAGAAATCCCATAGCGCTTTGATGGAGAGCTCTAGCAAAGCATTCCAGAATTTCTCTGCTCATCTAGTGACCGTGGATGATCACTTATTTTCAAGTTGCATTGTGGGAAATTTAGAGTACGCTACTTTTTCGTTCACTAGATGTTTGGACACTCATTTAAAATGGTGTAATCACTATATAGTACCCTATACCCTATATATCCATAGGCAGCAGAACACATGACTAATTTACTGAACAACCAAGCAACTCTTATATTAAAAAACCAAAAAAAAACTCTTTCTCAAAATGTTCCAAGTGCAGAAGAAGCGCCATGGGGTCCTCCTTCTTTTCCCGACCTCATCTGAACTGCTTCACAAATTTTGAAAGCAGCTCAGGATCCTCAGGAAACTTTAAGAAACCTACGCTATCCTTAAGAGGTTTGTAGCAAAAAGCTGCAACCCAACGCAAATAAGTCCTCTAAATGGTGTGAAATAGTTTTTTTTAAAAACTATTTTACACGTTTGCCTATTTTCTACAGGCAAACATGGAATGATTACATTAATCAATAGTATTGATATTTTGGGCAACAAAAAAATACTAGAAAATGTCAATATTGCATCATCAACACTTTAAACACACAGACCGGTCTGAATGCATTTAGAATCATTTCTATAAGTCCGTTTCCTCTTTCTCAGTATCAGTCTTTTCTAAAATAGTTACCTCATGTCTGTGACTTAAGATTCTTCCTTTCTTTTCTTTGCCTCCTCAAAGCTCTCTACCCCTGTGTCGGCACAGTGGCCTCCAGACGTCTCTTCTTTCCTCAGCTTCCCGTCTCCTGACAAACTGTTGAAACTTGGCGCCAAGAGAGCAATGCTAGTACAGCAGCAGGTAAGGAAACATGGGACACGAGGAAGGCAGCGTTGGTTTTTCAGAATACACCCTATCATGCTAATGCTCACCTGCCTTGGGTTTTAAGGTGGAAAAATCACCCCTCCACATCGATTTCCTACATTTTGATCACAGTTCCTCTTTTTATGGTTTCTATACAGGCTGGAAAAGTTTATTTATTTGTTTTCCTGTTCTGAAAAAAAAAGAAATTTTTGATTTTTTTTTTTTTTTTTTTTTTTTTCAAGTTTTTCTCTGCTCTTTATTTATTTGTTTTAAGCATTTTCTCTATCATTTTGTTTTTGAATAAACATACTGCATACTGAAAACACACTGAAGCCCCGTTTACACTGGTTGATTCTGACATTTATATCCCGCATCAGTTTTGCTGATTTTATTTCTATGTCCCACTGACTATGCAGTGCACATAGAGAGGCTCCTACTCCACAGGGTGAGCAGATCCCGATCTGAGCAGATTTTTTTTCCCCCTTCAGTCTCTGTGCCCAACAAATTGAAAC